TGTGACGTAATGAGAGTGGTAAATGTGTGATGTAATGAGTGATAAATGTGTGATGAAATGAGAGTGGTAAATGTGTGATGTAATGAGAGGTAAATGTGTGATGTAATGAGAGGTAAATGTGTGATGTAATGAGAGGTAAATGTGTGATGTAATGAGAGGTAAATGTGTGATGTAATGAGAGGTAAATGTGTGATGTAATGAGAGGTAAATGTGTGATGTAATGAGAGGTAAATGTGTGATGTAATGAGAGAGGTAAATGTGTGATGTAATGAGAGGTAAATGTGTGATGTATAGAGTGGTAAATATGTGATGTAATGAAAGGGGTAAATGTGTGATGTAATGAGGTAAATGTGTGATGTAATGAGAGGTAAATGTGTGATGTAATGAGAGAGGTAAATGTGTGATGTAATGAGAGGTAAATGTGTGATGTAATGAGACTGGTAAATGTGCGATGTAATGAGAGTGGTAAATGTGTGATGTAATGAGAGTGGTAAATGTGTGATGTAATGAGTGGTAAATGTGTGATGTAATGAGAGTGGTAAATGTGTGATGTAATGAGAGAGGTAAATGTGTGATGTAATGAGAGAGGTAAATGTGTGATGTAATGAGAGAGGTAAATGAGTGATGTAATGAGAGGTAAATGTGTGATGTAATGAGAGAGGTAAATGTGTGATGTAATGAGAGTGGTAAATGTGTGATGTAATGAGGTAAACGTGTGATGTAATGAGTGGTAAATGTGTGATGTAATGAGATGTAAATGTGTGATGTAATGAGAGAGGTAAATGTGTGATGTAATGAGAGGTAAATGTGTGATGTAATGAGTGGTAAATATGTGATGTAATGAAAGGGGTAAATGTGTGATGTAATGAGGTAAATGTGTGATGTAATGAGAGGTAAATGTGTGATGTAATGAGAGAGGTAAATGTGTGATGTAATGAGAGGTAAATGTGTGATGTAATGAGACTGGTAAATGTGCGATGTAATGAGAGTGGTAAATGTGTGATGTAATGAGAGTGGTAAATGTGTGATGTAATGAGTGGTAATGTGTGATGTAATGAGAGTGGTAAATGTGTGATGTAATGAGAGAGGTAAATGTGTGATGTAATGAGAGAGGTAAATGTGTGATGTAATGAGAGAGGTAAATGAGTGATGTAATGAGAGGTAAATGTGTGATGTAATGAGAGAGGTAAGGTGTGATGTAATGAGAGTGGTAAATGTGTGATGTAATGAGGTAAACGTGTGATGTAATGAGTGGTAAATGTGTGATGTAATGAGAGGTAAATATGTGATGTAATGAGAGGTAAATGTGTGATGTAATGGGAGGTATATGTGTGATATAATGAGAGTGGTAAATGTGTGATGTAATGAGTGGTAAATGTGTGATGTAATGAGAGGTAAATGTGTGATGTAATGGGAGGTATATGTGTGACGTAATGAGAGTGGTAAATGTGTGACGTAATGAGAGTGGCAAATGTGTGATGTAATGAGAGAGGTAAATGTGTGATGTAATGAGAGTGGTAAATGTGTGATGAATGAGGTAAATGTGTGATGTAATGAGTGGTAAATGTGTGATGTAATGAGAGGTAAATGTGTGATGTAATGAGAGGTATATGTGTGATATAATGAGAGTGGTAAATGTGTGATGTAATGAGTAGTAAATGTGTGATGTAATGAGAGGTAAATGTGTGATGTAATGGGAGGTATATGTGTGACGTAATGAGAGTGGTAAATGTGTGACGTAATGAGTGTGGTAAATGTGTGATGTAATGAGAGAGGTAAATGTGTGATGTAATGAGAGTGGTAAATGTGTGATGAATGAGGTAAATGTGTGATGTAATGAGTGGTAAATGTGTGATGTAATGAGAGGTAAATATGTGATGTAATGAGAGGTAAATGTGTGATGTAATGAGAGGTAAATGTGTGATGTAATGAGAGGTATGTGTGTGATATAATGAGAGTGGTAAATGTGTGATGTAATGAGTGGTAAATGTGTGATGTAATGGGAGGTATATGTGTGACGTAATGAGAGTGGTAAATGTGTGACGTTATGAGAGTGGCAAATGTGTGATGTAATGAGAGAGGTAAATGTGTGATGTAATGAGAGTGGTAAATGTGTGATGAATGAGGTAAATGTGTGATGTAATGAGTGGTAAATGTGTGATGTAATGAGAGGTAAATGTGTGATGTAATGAGAGAGGTAAATGTGTGATGTAATGAGAGGTATATGTGTGATATAATGACAGTGGTAAATGTGTGATGTAATGAGTGGTAAATGTGTGATGTAATGAGAGGTAAATGTGTGATGTAATGGGAGGTATATGTGTGACGTAATGAGAGTGGTAAATGTGTGACGTAATGAGTGTGGTAAATGTGTGATGTAATGAGAGAGGTAAATGTGTGATGTAATGAGAGGTATATGTGTGACGTAATAAGAGTGGTAAATGTGTGATGTAATGAGTGGTAAATGTGTGATGTAATGAGTGGTAAATGTGTGATGTAATGAGAGAGGTAAATGTGTGATGTAATGAGTGGTAAATGTGTGATGTAATGATAGGTAAATGTGTGATGTAATGAGTGGTAAATGTGTGATGTAATGAGAGAGGTAAATGTGTGATGTAATGAGTGGTAAATGTGTGATGTAATGATAGGTAAATGTGTGATGTAATGAGAGAGGTAAATGTGTGATGTAATGAGAGGTAAATGTGTGATGCAATGAGAGAGGTAAATGTGTGATGTAATGAGAGGTATATGTGTGATATAATGAGAGTGGTAAATGTGTGATGTAATGAGTGGTAAATGTGTGATGTAATGAGAGGTAAATGTGTGATGTAATGGGAGGTATATGTGTGACGTAATGAGAGTGGTAAATGTGTGACGTAATGAGAGTGGCAAATGTGTGATGTAATGAGAGAGGTAAATGTGTGATGTAATGAGAGTGGTAAATGTGTGATGAATGAGGTAAATGTGTGATGTAATGAGTGGTAAATGTGTGATGTAATGAGAGGTAAATGTGTGATGTAATGAGAGGTATATGTGTGATATAATGAGAGTGGTAAATGTGTGATGTAATGAGTAGTAAATGTGTGATGTAATGAGAGGTAAATGTGTGATGTAATGGGAGGTATATGTGTGACGTAATGAGAGTGGTAAATGTGTGACGTAATGAGTGTGGTAAATGTGTGATGTAATGAGAGTGGTAAATGTGTGATGAATGAGGTAAATGTGTGATGTAATGAGTGGTAAATGTGTGATGTAATGAGAGGTAAATATGTGATGTAATGAGAGGTAAATGTGTGATGTAATGAGAGGTAAATGTGTGATGTAATGAGAGGTATGTGTGTGATATAATGAGAGTGGTAAATGTGTGATGTAATGAGTGGTAAATGTGTGATGTAATGGGAGGTATATGTGTGACGTAATGAGAGTGGTAAATGTGTGACGTTATGAGAGTGGCAAATGTGTGATGTAATGAGAGAGGTAAATGTGTGATGTAATGAGAGTGGTAAATGTGTGATGAATGAGGTAAATGTGTGATGTAATGAGTGGTAAATGTGTGATGTAATGAGAGGTAAATGTGTGATGTAATGAGAGAGGTAAATGTGTGATGTAATGAGAGGTATATGTGTGATATAATGAGAGTGGTAAATGTGTGATGTAATGAGTGGTAAATGTGTGATGTAATGAGAGGTAAATGTGTGATGTAATGGGAGGTATATGTGTGACGTAATGAGAGTGGTAAATGTGTGACGTAATGAGTGTGGTAAATGTGTGATGTAATGAGAGAGGTAAATGTGATATGTAATGAGAGGTATATGTGTGACGTAATGAGAGTGGTAAATGTGTGATGTAATGAGTGGTAAATGTGTGATGTAATGAGTGGTAAATGTGTGATGTAATGAGAGAGGTAAATGTGTGATGTAATGAGTGGTAAATGTGTGATGTAATGATAGGTAAATGTGTGATGTAATAAGTGGTAAATGTGTGATGTAATGAGAGAGGTAAATGTGTGATGTAATGAGTGGTAAATGTGTGATGTAATGATAGGTAAATGTGTGATGTAATGAGAGAGGTAAATGTGTGATGTAATGAGAGGTAAATGTGTGATGCAATGAGAGAGGTAAATGTGTGATGTAATGAGAGTCGTAAATGTGTGATGTAATGAGGTAAACATGTGATGTAATGAGTGGTAAATGTGTGATGTAATGAGAGAGGTAAATGTGTGATGTAATGAGTGGTAAATGTGTGATGTAATGAGAGTGGTAAATGTGTGATGTAATGACAGTGGTAATTGTGTGATGTAATGAGGGTGTTAAATGTGTTATGAGAGTGGTAAATGTGTGATGTAATCTCCGTAATACCATTGTATGGCATTTACAGCACTCATAGCTTATCGGGAGAAAGAACAAAGTCAGGTTAGTGTGGTAGGCTACCACCCATTTTTACATCCATGAACCTGAACCTAGATCTGTTTTTCTTGCTACACACTAGGTCTCTAGGTATAGTTATGTTTTTTATTCTTCAAACCACACAACTCGGCACCAATGTCACCTGTTTCAAATGTGGACTAATTATAGTTTTTTGTGTGTGTGTGTGAGTACAATGCAAGCTTATTGACAGCCAGTAACACAGGTATACATCTAGAGTGTGTGTAGACAGCACTAACTATATTCAAGAGTTACAAGATTTTCTTAGATATCAGTTCTAATAATACGATGGTGACCTGTTTGGGAATTATAGAGATTTGTTGACTTATTTTCGATGACATGCCTTGGGATTATTTATCAAGACGATTCGTACGGCCTACACACGACGATTCGTACGGCCTACACACGACGATTCGTACGGCCTACACACGACGATTCGTACGGCCTACACACGACGATTCGTACGGTCTACACACGACGACGTGTAGGCCTACTAATCATCGGTAGCCCCAATCACGTGCGGGTGATACAGGTCTGGTCGTGAAGCGACACACAAAAAACCGATGGCATTATGTGGCGCTGTGTACACACGCCGATCAATATAGTCTGCTGTGTGTTGATGCGACTAAGCATCTTCGCTGTTTCTGGTGTGTTGTAAAGGCCTCGCTAGCGGTGGTCTCAAATAGTACAGGCTGGTTTGTCATCCTGCCTTTTTTATTTCTGCACCTGTTTATTTAGTTTTACTTGATTGTACTGTGACAGGCTAAAACAATCGTTATGTATCAAGGACAGTCATTTATAGCTGTTGCAGTGTCGACCTAGAGTCTAGAACAGAAGTGGGTAGCTATGGTCTGCTAGTGTCTACCTAGAACAGAAGTGGGTAGCTATGGTCTGCTAATGAGAGTGCTGACCATATTATTCCCTGTATATTGAGAAAAAGGTTTATATTTTATTAAAAATATATAATCATATTCTCAGACCCGGCTCAACGTCATATAGGCCTATATATATATATATATATATATATATATATATATATATATATATATATATATATATGTATATGTGATGTATTTTAAATGATCAGTTATCAGAGGTGTTTGGGCTTGATCTTAATTGGAAGTCTCTCCAGCTGGCTGGCAGTGATTGTATTAAAGAAAGTTCTCTTTGGTCATACACTTGATCAACTTGCCACTCTATGCCTGCTCACAGTGTAGCATTTAATGACACTCTATGCCTGCTCACAGTGTAGCATTTAATGCCACTCTATGCCTGCTCACAGTGTAGCATTTAAATCAAACCTAGCCTGAAAGAAATGGCATCATTTTAATCACTTCCATTGTCATAAAGAGTTAAAAATAGACTACATGGAATGACTTCGATGACAGAATTTTTAGAGAAATGTCATCAAGATGATCTGACATCCAGCTTTGACATTCTTGGTAAGTCTCTTACTCTTAGCAGTAGTGGTCATTTTCATTGCTAAGATGGTCAGCAGCCATCATTTGATCTCTGTGGCGGTCAGTGTGTCATCATTTTTTCAGTTTCATGAACAGGTCACATAGCAACAAAAATCTTTCAGTCTCATGGTTTCAAAACCTTTATCATGACTGGTACAGCTTTATATGAAAAAAAAAACCATTCACCACGTTGATTGGGGTGTGGCTTGGTTGATTGGGGTGTGGCTTGGTTGATTGGGGTGTGGCTTGGTTGATTGGGGTGTGTCTTGGTTGATTGGGGTGTGGCTTGGTTGATTGGGGTGTGGCTTGGTTGATTGGGGGTGTGTCTTGGTTGATTGGGGGGTGTGACTTGGTTGATTGGGGTGTGTGGCTTGGTTGATAGGGGGTGTGGCTTGGTTGATTGGGGTGTGGCTTGATTGATTGGGGTGTGGCTTGGTTGATTGGGGTGTGGCTTGGTTGATTGGGGTGTGGCTTGGTTGATTGGGGTGTGTCTTGGTTGATTGGGGTGTGGCTTGGTTGATTGGGGTGTGGCTTGGTTGATTGGGGTGTGGCTTGGTTGATTGGGGGGGTGTGGCTTGGTTGATTGGGGTGTGTGGCTTGGTTGATTGGGGGTGTGTGTGTGGCTTGGTTGATTGGGGGTGTGGCTTGGTTGATTGGGGTTGTGGCTTGGTTGATTGGGGTGTGGCTTGGTTGATTGGGGTGTGGCTTGGTTGATTGGGAAGTCCTGGTGATTGGGGAGGGGGAAATTCTCCCATTCATATTTGACATGTTAAATTGATATTTTGGTTGGTGAAATGTTGAGCCTGTTTGTTTGATGTTTTAATTGATGATATGTAATTTTGAGTCGGTGATGTTTGATGTTTTAATTGATGATATGTAATTTTGAGTCAGTGATGTTTGATGTTTTGATTGATGATATTTGCTGTTGACCTGTGATGTTTGATGTTTTGTCAGATGGCCTGCTGAGCCATGACAAAAACGACCTGGTGGAGCGGGTCAGTGACCTGGAGAAGAAGGTCCAGCAGCAGGAGGATGAAATTGTTTGTCTCAAGTCTGCCATGGCTGACGTCATTAGAAGGATGGCTGCTGTTGAAGCAGGTCAGTCAATTGTTTGTCTCAAGTCTGCCATGGCTGACGTCATTAGAAGGATGGCTGCTGTTGAAACAGGTCAGTCAATTGTTTCTCTCAAGTCTGCCATGGCTGACGTCATTAGAAGGATGGCTGCTGTTGAAACAGGTCAGTCAATTGTTTGTCTCTAGTTAACCATGGCTGACGTCATTAGAAGGATGGCTGCTGTTGAAACAGGTCAGTCAATTGTTTGTCTCTAGTTAACCATGTCATTACATTTTAAAAATATATTTTATAAAATAGTAATTGATCAAAACGCAATTTATTGAGAAAATTGTATACATTTCATAGTGTTCGTCTTAATAAGTAGATCTATAAATCATATTTGAATGAAATAGTTGATTTCTTCATGTTGTTGTGTCTGACCTGACCCAGCTATGTTGTAGTGTCTGACCCAGCTATGTTGTTGTGTCTGACCCAGCTATGTTGTTGTGTCTGACCCAGCTATGTTGTTGTGTCTGACCCAGCTATGTTGTTGTGTCTGACCTGACCCAGCTATGTTGTTGTGTCTGACCCAGCTATGTTGTTGTGTCTGACCCAGCTATGTTGTTGTGTCTGACCCAGCTATGTTGTTGTGTCTGACCCAGCTATGTTGTTGTGTCTGACCTGACCCAGCTATGTTGTTGTGTCTGACCTGACCCAGCTATGTTGTTGTGTCTGACCTGACCCAGCTATGTTGTTGTGTCTGACCCAGCTATGTTGTTGTGTCTGACCTGACCCAGCTATGTTGTTGTGTCTGACCTGACCCAGCTATGTTGTTGTGTCTGACCTGACCCAGCTATGTTGTTGTGTCTGACCTGACCCAGCTATGTTGTTGTGTCTGACCTGACCCAGCTATGTTGTTGTGTCTGACCTGACCCAGCTATGTTGTTATGTCTGACCTGACCCAGCTATGTTGTTGTGTCTGACCTGACCCAGCTATGTTGTTGTGTCTGACCTGACCCAGCTATGTTGTTGTGTCTGACCTGACCCAGCTATGTTGTTGTGTCTGACCTGACCCAGCTATGTTGTTGTGTCTGACCCAGCTATGTTGTTGTGTCTGACCTGACCCAGCTATGTTGTTGTGTCTGACCTGACCCAGCTATGTTGTTGTGTCTGACCCAGCTATGTTGTTGTGTCTGACCCAGCTATGTTGTTGTGTCTGACCTGACCCAGCTATGTTGTTGTGTCTGACCTGACCCAGCTATGTTGTTGTGTCTGACCTGACCCAGCTATGTTGTTGTGTCTGACCTGACCCAGCTATGTTGTTGTGTCTGACCTGACCCAGCTATGTTGTTGTGTCTGACCTGACCCAGCTATGTTGTTGTGTCTGACCCAGCTATGTTGTTGTGTCTGACCTGACCCAGCTATGTTGTTGTGTCTGACCTGACCCAGCTATGTTGTTGTGTCTGACCTGACCCAGCTATGTTGTTGTGTCTGACCTGACCCAGCTATGTTGTTGTGTCTGACCTGACCCAGCTATGTTGTTGTGTCTGACCTGACCCAGCTATGTTGTTGTGTCTGACCTGACCCAGCTATGTTGTTGTGTCTGACCTGACCCAGCTATGTTGTTGTGTCTGACCTGACCCAGCTATGTTGTTGTGTCTGACCTGACCCAGCTATGTTGTTGTGTCTGACCCAGCTATGTTGTTGTGTCTGACCCAGCTATGTTGTTGTGTCTGACCTGACCCAGCTATGTTGTTGTGTCTGACCTGACCCAGCTATGTTGTTGTGTCTGACCTGACCCAGCTATGTTGTTGTGTCTGACCTGACCCAGCTATGTTGTTCTGTCTGACCTGACCCAGCTATGTTGTTGTGTCTGACCTGACCCAGCTATGTTGTTGTGTCTGACCTGACCCAGCTATGTTGTTGTGTCTGACCTAGCTATGTTGTTGTGTCTGACCCAGCTATGTTGTTGTGTCTGACCCACCAATGTTGTATCCTCATATTTCTCTACTACCACAGGTTCAGCCAGCAGTGCCCTACCCTCTCGCTCTCATGGCAGGGTGACCTTGATTCGGCCCCGCTCCGTGGCTGGAATTGAAAACAATGTCAGTAAAAAGCATCTGAGTGCCTTAGAGAATGTGAATGTCATGTCCCACAGAAACGCCCCATCTACTCACAGAAGTTCCCCCAGAACTGCTCGCCTCTCCTCAGCTCACAGCCTGGCCAAGTGGTCTTCCCTGTCCACCTCAGTAGAGCTCTCCAACTCACAGCTTACACCCACATCGTGAGTACACTCTTGATGCTTTAGCCAGATGGTTGGCAGCTTTAGCCAGATGGTTGGCAGCTTTAGCCAGATGGCTGGCAGCTTTAGCCAGATGGTTGGTTGGCAGCTTTAGCCAGATGGTTGGCTGGCAGCTTTAGCCAGATGGTTGGCTGGCAGCTTTAGCCAGATGGTTGGCTGGCAGCTTTAGCCAGATGGCTGGCTGGCAGCTTTAGCCAGATGGCTGGCTGGCAGCTTTAGCCAGATGGCTGGCTGGCAGCTTTAGCCAGATGGCTGGCTGGCAGCTTTAGCCAGATGGTTGGCTGGCAGCTTTAGCCAGATGGTTGGCAGCTTTAGCCAGATGGTTGGCAGCTTTAGCCAGATGGTTGGCAGCTTTAGCCAAATGGTTGGCAGCTTTAGCCAGATGGTTGGCAGCTTTAGCCAGATGGTTGGCAGCTTTAGCCAGATGGCTGGCAGCTTTAGCCAGATGGTTGGCAGCTTTAGCCAGATGGTTGGCAGCTTTAGCCAGATGGTTGGCAGCTTTAGCCAGATGGTTGGCTGGCAGCTTTAGCCAGATGGTTGGCAGCTTTAGCCAGATGGCTGGCAGCTTTAGCCAGATGGTTGGCAGCTTTAGCCAGATGGTTGGCTGGCAGCTTTAGCCAGATGGCTGGCTGGCAGCTTTAGCCAGATGGCTGGCTGGCAGCTTTAGCCAGATGGCTGGCTGGCAGCTTTAGCCAGATGGCTGGCTGGCAGCTTTAGCCAGATGGTTGGCTGGCAGCTTTAGCCAGATGGTTGGCAGCTTTAGCCAGATGGTTGGCAGCTTTAGCCAAATGGTTGGCAGCTTTAGCCAGATGGTTGGCAGCTTTAGCCAGATGGTTGGCAGCTTTAGCCAGATGGCTGGCAGCTTTAGCCAGATGGTTGGCAGCTTTAGCCAGATGGTTGGCAGCTTTAGCCAGATGGTTGGCAGCTTTAGCCAGATGGTTGGCTGGCAGCTTTAGCCAGATGGTTGGCAGCTTTAGCCAGATGGCTGGCAGCTTTAGCCAGATGGTTGGCAGCTTTAGCCAGATGGTTGGCTGGCAGCTTTAGCCAGATGGTTGGCTGGCAGCTTTAGCCAAATGGTTGGCAGCTTTAGCCAGATGGTTGGCAGCTTTAGCCAGATGGTTGGCAGCTTTAGCCAAATGGCTGGCAGCTTTAGCCAGATGGTTGGCTGGCAGCTTTAGCCAGATGGCTGGCAGCTTTAGCCAGATGGCTGGCTGGCAGCTTTAGCCAGATGGTTGGCTGACAGCTTTAGCCAGATGGTTGGCAGCTTTAGCCAGATGGTTGGCAGCTTTAGCCAAATGGTTGGCAGCTTTAGCCAGATGGCTGGCAGCTTTACCCAGATGGTTGGCAGCTTTAGCCAGATGGTTGGCTGGCAGCTTTACCCAGATGGTTGGCAGCTTTAGCCAGATGGTTGGCTGGCAGCTTTAGCCAGATGGTTGGCTGGCAGCTTTAGCCAGATGGTTGGCAGCTTTAGCCAAATGGTTGGCAGCTTTAGCCAGATGGTTGGCAGCTTTAGCCAGATGGTTGGCAGCTTTAGCCAGATGGTTGGCAGCTTTAGCCAGATGGTTGGCAGCTTTAGCCAGATGGTTGGCAGCTTTAGCCAGATGGTTGGCTGGCAGCTTTAGCCAGATGGTTGGCTGGCAGCTTTAGCCAGATGGTTGGCAGCTTTAGCCAGATGGCTGGTAGCTTTAGCCAGATGGTTGGCAGCTTTAGCCAGATGGTTGGCTGCCAGCTTTAGCCAGATGGTTGGCAGCTTTAGCCAGATGGTTGGCTGGCAGCTTTAGCCAGATGGTTGGCAGCTTTAGTCAGATGGTTGGCAGCTTTAGCCAGATGGTTGGCTGGCAGCTTTAGCCAGATGGCTGGCAGCTTTACCCAGATGGTTGGCAGCTTTAGCCAGATGGTTGGCTGGCAGCTTTACCCAGATGGTTGGCAGCTTTAGCCAGATGGTTGGCAGCTTTAGCCAAATGGTTGGCAGCTTTAGCCGAGTGTAAAGCAGTGTTGTATCACTAATAGCATGAGCTGTGATGTCTGTTAGATTGCTGTTGTTGAGTTTGAGCAAATGTCTCCCCCTGAGGTCCTGACTACCTATTTCTGTTCTCTTACATTGTTTGTAATCTTCAAACATAATTTCTCCTGTAACACTTGGACCTAGAGCAGAACAAACTCTAAGGCATTGAATAATACATCACTTGATCCCCCAGAGATATTGTAATTAGCAGCAGAATTTTTTTTGTTTACAGTTACTAAAATTAATTTTAGTCATGCACTGTGGCACCTACATTTGTTTTAAAGAGCCCCCAACAGTAGGTACAGGGTGGGACACAACATTTGATGACTAAACCGACCAAGAAATAGTGATAGGCGCCCCTGCGATAGTGCAACCGGTGGCTTCCGAGAGCACCCTGCGACGCCCTTGACACCTCGATAGTGAGATCCAACACGCGCCTCACCCCTATGATCCTAGACATACTCACCACTATGATCCTAGACATACTCACCACTATGATCCTAGACATACCACTATGATCCTAGACATACTCACCACTATGATCCTAGACATACTCACCACTATGATCCTAGACATACTCACCACTATGATCCTAGACATACTCACCACTATGATCCTAGACATACTCACCACTATGATCCTAGACATACTCACCACTATGATCCTAGACATACTCACCACTATGATCCTAGACATACTCACCACTATGATCCTAGACATACTCACCACTATGATCTTAGACATACTCACCACTATGATCCTAGACATACTCACCACTATGATCCTAGACATACTCACCACTATGATCCTAGACATACTCACCACTATGATCCTAGACATACTCACCACTATGATCCTAGACACACCACTATGATCCTAGACATACTCACCACTATGATCCTAGACATACTCACCACTATGATCCTAGACTCACCACTATGATCCTAGACTCACCACTATGATCCTAGACATACTCACCACTATGATCCTAGACATACTCACCACTATGATCCTAGACATACCACCATGATCCTAGACATACACACCACTATGATCCTAGACATACTCACCACTATGATCCTAGACATACTCACCACTATGATCCTAGACATACACACCACTATGATCCTAGACATACTCACCACTATGATCCTAGACATACTCACCACTATGATCCTAGACATACCACCATGATCCTAGACATACACACCACTATGATCCTAGACATACTCACCACTATGATCCTAGACATACTCACCACTATGATCCTAGACATACTCACCACTATGATCCTAGACATACTCACCACTATGATCCTAGACACACCACTATGATCCTAGACTCACCACTATGATCCTAGACATACTCACCACTATGATCCTAGACTCACCACTATGATCCTAGACATACTCACCACTATGATCCTAGACATACTCACCACTATGATCCTAGACATACTCACCACTATGATCCTAGACATACTCACCACTATGATCCTAGACATACCACTATGATCCTAGACATACTCACCACTATGATCCTAGACATACTCACCACTATGATCTTAGACATACACACCACTATGATCCTAGACATACCACTATGATCCTAGACATACCACTATGATCCTAGACATACCACTATGATCCTAGACATACCACTATGATCCTAGACATACCACTATGATCCTAGACATACCACTATGATCCTAGACATACCACTATGATCCTAGACATACCACTATGATCCTAGACATACCACTATGATCCTAGACATACCACTATGATCCTAGACATACCACTATGATCCTAGACATACCACTATGATCCTAGACATACCACTATGATCCTAGACATACCACTATGATCCTAGACATACTCACCACTATGATCCTAGACATACTCACCACTATGATCCTAGACATACTCACCACTATGATCCTAGACATACTCACCACTATGATCCTAGACATACTCACCACTATGATCCTAGACACACCACTATGATCCTAGACATACTCACCACTATGATCCTAGACATACTCACCACTATGATCCTAGACATACTCACCACTATGATCCTAGACATACTCACCACTATGATCCTAGACACACCACTATGATCCTAGACATACCACTATGATCCTAGACATACTCACCACTATGATCCTAGACATACCACTATGATCCTAGACATACTCACCACTATGATCCTAGACATACTCACCACTATGATCCTAGACATACTCACCACTATGATCCTAGACACACCACTATGATCCTAGACATACTCACCACTATGATCCTAGACATACTCACCACTATGATCCTAGACATACTCACCACTATGATCCTAGACATACTCACCACTATGATCCTAGACATACCACTATGATCCTAGACATACACACCACTATGATCCTAGACATACTCACCACTATGATCCTAGACATACCACTATGATCCTAGACATACCACTATGATCCTAGACATACCACTATGATCCTAGACATACTCACCACTATGATCCTAGACATACTCACCACTATGATCCTAGACATACTCACCACTATGATCCTAGACATACTCACCACTATGATCCTAGACATACTCACCACTATGATCCTAGACATACTCACCACTATGATCCTAGACATACTCACCACTATGATCCTAGACATACTCACCACTATGATCCTAGACATACCACTATGATCCTAGACATACTCACCACTATGATCCTAGACATACTCACCACTATGATCCTAGACATACTCACCACTATGATCCTAGACATACCACTATGATTCTAGACATACTCACCACTATGATCCTAGACATACTACACTGCTTTGTTTAAATCTGCATTTATAATTTTTGAAAGAAAATGGGTCCAGTAGAAGAGACGTTTTGAAAAAACAATGAGACATAGTATAGTAGTAAAGTAATATTTCTGGTCACTAAACGTACTCAAAATT